AGGAATACCAGGTATCCCATCGTCTCCGGAATCATCATTGACCATTTCGTCAAACTCCAACTCGTCATCTTCTTCTTCTTCATCAACTGCATCTACTTCTGCTTATTCGGTCCCCAAAGGATCAACCACTTGTGAAAGTTGAGGCTCTCGCAGCATAATGTACAACTCAATAGAGTCGTACCCAGAATACTCATGACTGGAAAACATATTCTGAAGATCCTCGTCATATTGAACCTCAACCTTATAAAATATTATTTGGTTGTTACAAAAAAAAACCCGGATTCTGATAGAATATTTGTGTCACGGGGCCTCGTCCAAGTTTGGCCTCCAATCGTTTTTTAAAGTACAAGAAATTGACTTTCCTGTTTAAACAAAATCGGATGTTCTCTGTGTCTCTAAACAAAAACCTAGAGGTGGGACAAATGTATGTCTCACCGTTGAAATGTGCACTGATCACATATTAGGGTGCAGAGGCCATTGTGTATGACTGTTTGAAGGTTTGAAGGTTGGAAGGTTTGAATTTTATGAGTTATTTACTAGAATTTTTGAATGTTCTAGTGTTTGAGAGATTAAGTGTATCAGTGTTTTGATAAATGTAAGACTAAATAGGTCATACTGAATTTGAATTAACCAAGGCTGTCCAATAGTGTTACATGCATTCAGAGATGCCTTCTCCAAGGCTGCCACCTAGCCTGCGCATAGACTGCACCTACACTGTAACCTCTAAGGCGCCTCACATCACGTCTAATAGTGTTACATGCATTCAGAGATGCCTTCTCCAAGACTGTCACCTAGCCTGCGCCTACTCTGTAACCTATGCCACCTCTTATTTTCCAATAGGGATGGCATCACCTTTCATTTTTGTACTCTTTCGCCAAGTCTAGTGGCGCCTCCCTTTATGTCCAATCGTGTTACATGCATTCAGAGATGCCTTCTCCAAGGTTGTCACCTAGCTTGCGCCTACTCTGCAACCCATGCCACCTCTTATTCGCCAACGGGGATGGCAAAACCTTTCATTTTTGTACTCTTTTGCCAAGTCCAGTGGCACCTCCCTTCATATCCAATCATGTTACATGCATTCAGAGATGCCTTCTCCAAGGCTGTCACCTAGCCTGCGCCTACTCTACAACCCATGCCACCTCTTATTCTCCAACGGGGATGGCGATACCTTTCATTTTTGTACTCTTTCGCCAAGTCCAATGGCGCCTCCCTTCATGTCCAATCGTGTTACATGTATGCCAGAGATGCCTTCTCCAAGGTTGCCACGTAGCCTGCACCTACACTACAAGAGTGACACTTATCATGCATGCATGCACCCACCTACCACCTCACTTACTCTATGAAATTTTTTTGCCTATAAATACAGAGCACTACATACTTCTCTCGCATCCACAATCGTCTCAGTCTCTGCTACAAACTCTTTCATAATCTCTTATAATTTCAAACTCTTTCATAAACTCAGGCATTTTCAACAATGGCTCTTCTCACAATGGACGATTCTCACAGAGGCACAAGGGACAACATTGCAGCATTTGTAAGTTTCTTTTATAGTTATACATTTTTCATACTTCTAGTAATGCTTTGTTCATCTAACTTACTCTTACACCTTTTACATTATTAACTTAGGATACCAAAAGATTCAGAATCCAGTTACACAACTACCTTGCTCCCGACCCATTGATCGTACCATATCTGGAATACGCAGGTTTCAGAAACGTTATAAAGATCTCCAACTGCACAATTGATTCAAAGTTCATACTTGCAATGTTGGAAAGCTGGAGACCAGAGACCCATACATTTCACCTACCAATAGGTGAATGTACCGTCACACTAGAGGACGTGTACATGTTATTGGGTCTCCCTGTCGACGGTAAGGCGGTTAACGGGTCGGTTCAACAATCCAATTCTCCGTGTGAAGAATTGTTGGGCAGAAATATGGTTGAAGGTGGTGGTGCGAGAGGTCAGGGTATACTACTAACTGAGCTAAAAAATTATTATGCGACTTTGGAATTGAACGAAAATTTCTCCGAGCTAGCCAAGGTAATAAAAGCTAGAACTTATATAATGATACTTTTTGGAACCTTTTTATTTCCCGAAAGTACGGGAAATAGTGTAAATTTTATGTATTTAAATTTACTTAGAGACTTCGAAAAAACTAGAAAGTATAGTTGGGGTTCTGCTGTTTTAGCCCACCTATACAGTTCCTTGTGTAAAAATGCAATCAAGAAAAAATGTACATTTTATGGCTGCGCTTTTTTACTTCAAGCCTGGGGTTGGTGGAGGATGGAGTCCCTAAACTCCGTCAACAACAACACATTTGTTTTCCCATACGCAACAAAATAAGTCATCAAGTTATATCATTTATTACTATTCATCTCTTCAACAAATATATGATAAAAATAAAATATTTTTCATTTCCTTTAGGTATTGCGTGAGGGGTATGAATTACGGCAAGAATCCAAGATTCAATGTCGCACTATACCACAATCTATTGGATCACCTTGGCCCGGATGATGTACGTTGTACCTTTCAACTTTTCTACTTTTAAATTATTTATATATTACGTTTTCATTAACCTGATTTAATTTTATCTGCAGTTTGTTTGGAGACCATATTTGGGTTTGGGCCATGAACCAAACTTCGAGGATGCAGCAATTTGGAGCGCAAAGACTGCAATCATACGGTTCAATATTGTGGAGATGCACCACAGCGACCGTGTGAAGATGCAGTTTGGAATGCATCAAGAGATACCCAGCGATCCGACTTGTTTGTCCCCGTGGAATCTCAAAAGGGTCGACGCCCAATGAGGTCTTACCAACTGGAAAGACTTTGCTCCAGAATGATGTAAGATGTGGCAGAGGCGTCACCAACATGTCTTGCAATTCTCAGTTTTCCTCAACCATGGTAATATGCGACACACATATCAGTATTTATCTTGGTACAAATCGGTTAGTACCCCTGAAATGCACGTGTCTCATCCAAGGTATTTGGTTGATCCACGAACACAATGGGCACAACCCTCATTTCCCTAACAACAAATCCAACACACATCAACCTCCCACCAACCCCCAGACGAAACAAAACCACAAACACCCAACCACAATCACCACCACAATACAATTACACCTCAACAATTATTTTGCTTGTACCATCTTATGTATTTTTTCTTCTTAATATCGAATTAGAGTAACACTTCTATTTTATATATATATATATATATATATATATATATATATATATATATATATATATATATATATATATATATATATATATATATATATATATATATATATATATATATATATATTTAAATTTTGATAATTTTGTCATTAAAAAATCTGTAGTGCAATAATATACCATATTATATCGTATGTTTTCATAATTAAAAATCAATATGCAAGTTAAAAATATTATGTGTGTTTTCCAAGCTCCGTAGACTTAAAGATTAATACTATATCAATTCCAATTATATAATTTAAGTAATAAATACCGTTTTCATAATAAAAAACTGTATTTAATAAAAATGCATGAACAATATTAAATAATTTTACACTATTATCAAATAAAAACTCATCATATTTATCATATCAGTGCTATAATCATTTTGTTAACATAACTATCAAAATATTCAATCTTTATTGGATGTCAATGTAAGATTGATTGATAATGCATGTTCTAATATTTTTTCAAAAAAAAAAAGGATTTGATTTTTATGGAGGAAAAAATTGGGTTGATTTAATACAAATATTAGTTAGTTAAGAAATGTGTAAAAACAATGGAGAGTATATAGACTTGATTTTCTTTTGGGTACATGTGATCTGAGATGCTATTTCTGATGCCACCAGCTTTTGATCAATTGCTTACAAATGGCACTAAACTTTGAGGATACTAAAATCTTTCCCTCCTTATGTTAGGTTACTATCAATAAAGGGACCACTTAGATCTCTCAAAAAATAAAATATCACCCACACTAACTCAACTACTTTACACTCTATCAATAATTATTGAGGTAAACTTTCATGTGTAATGTCAATAACTTTTTGGTATTATTTTGTCTTTTAATTTTCCTAGCTAGCTCTATTTGGTGTTAAATATAAAAATTATTAGTAATAAGTAATAACAGAGAAACTTAAACATGTAACACTGTTAAATTTAAATTTAAAAAAATTACTGTCATTAATTATTCAATGAATTTAAAAAGTAAACTTCTCTTATAATTTGGGACGGAAGGAGTACAATTGTTTATCTTAAAGTATAATTTCAATTGGATGGTTGCGAAAGTTGTTTGTTCTCCACCCCACATTCCAAATCACACCTCCCTCTATCTGTCCCACCAAACCCTATACCATTCTTTATTTCTCTTCTTCACCATTTCTTTATTATTTTTTTTATTTTTTTTATTTTTTTAATAAATTAAAATAATATTTTTCTTTCTTTTCCACTCTCCCCTCCCACCTTTTTTTTCTCTATAAATTAACCCTTCAACCCCCTCTATTACTTCCTCTTCCCCTCTTTCCCTCTCCCACCCCTTACTTTACTAATCACACCTCTCTCTCTCTCTCTTCCTCAAATCTTTCTAGTTTTGTTTCTTTTTCCTTAAAACATTCATTTTGTGTTTTTTTTTTTCATTCACCATATGAAAATATCTTAGTAATTAATTTACTATTGATGCTGAACATCTTCATATTGTTCATGCTTCACATTCATGTCTCCGGTTCTTAGTGAAATTCTTCTTTCTGGATTTATCATAGATTCATCCTTAAAACGTAGGACACACTTAGTTCAATCTTTCTCTGTTGTCTTTCTCTATTGGTTCTATGTTTTTTCATAAATCTCTTAACACCACTCCAAAATTACACTATATTATATAATATATAATAGTCATAATAATTATTTATCTATCTTAATTAAGATAACATTTCCAACCTTTATTTTTATCTTTGCTTTTAAAAAGAGAACTAGTTTATTTCTTTATTGTTACTATTATTATCCCTATTATGGCCACTTCTAGTGGAAACTCTAGTGTGTCCACAAAATCTCAAAGCTATGGCTCTGAGGAAGATTTGCAAGATTTGAAGCTTTTAATGGATCAAAGAAAGAGGAAGAGAAAACAATCAAACCGCGAATCGGCGAGAAGATCGAGAATGAGGAAGCAGAAGCACATGGATGATTTAATAGTTGAAGTTGAAAGACTAAGAAATGAAAACAGTGAAATGGTGACAAGGATGAACATGTCAACACAACACATATTGAAAATTGAGGCTGAGAATTGTGTTCTAAGAGCTCAAATGTGTGAACTTAATCAAAGGCTACAATCATTGAATGATATCATCAACATGATGAACACAGCAACAACTATTTCTGAAGTCAATTATCAAAACAATGATTGTTTTTTAACAGTTGCAGATAATTGCTTCATGAATCAAATCAACAACATGTCATATCTTAACCAATTACCAATTATGGCCTCTGCAGATATGTTTATGTGGTGAATTGTTGAACCTCAAAAAGGAAAATTAAGATTAATTATTACTCCATCAAGATTATATTACAAGAACTTAATTGCAAAAAAAAAAAATATTGATTAATAGGTTGCTTTAGTACTACTCAACATTGTCCAATATTTTGAGGAAAGAAAAAAAAAAGATGTTGTGGAAGTGCTTTTTCTGCTTTTCTGTATTAGTTTGTGTGTTGTGAGTTTGCTTTTTCTAGATGTTAAAATAGTATTGGTTCTTTCTCTTACCAATAAAATAAGTGCTCGATTCTCCTATGAAAAAAGGTGTTTGTCTCTATCAATTTTTTTTTTCAAAAGTATTACTATCAATTAGAAACTTTATTTGATGGCAACATGAAATATGCTTGCACCTGTCATATTTTGGACTAGCTTGAGGACTAATTTTTGAATTTCATTAGAATTTCATTAGTCAGCCATTATCGTTCATTAAATTACATCATTCAAATAAGATCTTCTAAGTAGAAGGCATATAAAGTAGGTACATATGGGGTACAACACCACTATTAACATCGACTTGCACAATCATATCATAGTTGTTAATTTAACTGCAAAGTGAAAGAAGCCGTTGAAAGAACTAATCCACATATAGCATCACATAATGTGACAAAAATGTGAAAATATTATTTAATTTTAATAATATTAAAGAGATTTATTTTATAATTCTATCTAATGTTTTTTTTTTTGGAGAAATCAATTTATTTTATAATTATTGTTTTCATTTAAAACTATTTCTCTATTCATAATTTTAATACGGGTGGAAAATTATCATATAAATACGATAATAAAATACTAATTTTACAGATTATTATCGGCACAATAATTATTTTGTTTTAATTAGTAATTACTTTTATTTGAGAGATAATTTTTAATTTCAAATATCAATATTTTTTTCATTCTCTATTTCTCAATTTCTTTTTTTAATAATTATTTAATACAATTGAATTAATAGAATTGTTGTTCATTTTATAATTTAGTAATATATTTCAAATTTATATCTGAATCTAAATGTATTTTTACTATAGAAAATAAATTTATCTGTGCGGACACACGGGTATCTTATTAGTTCGATCAAAAGATCTAGTCCAGGTGTTGTGGCGGAAAAGATTTTAGAATAAGCTATTGATTAACTTATCTCAGCAAAAGAAAGAATCACCATCGAACTTTATTATTTCTAAAGGAATGAGAAAAGATCGAATAAAATCCATAAAAGCATGCAAAGAAAAAAGCAAAGCACAAAGAGAACAGGGTACGAGGGTTGATTATGCAGTGGGAGGGTATTAACACCCTAAACATCTACAGTACTCCGCGGGAACCTCTTAAAAATATGTGTATTTGGTTAAAAATGGTTGTTTGCAATATGACTGGAGAGATGGAAAATAATTTTTTTTAATATTTTGATTCAGAATAACTTCGAGAGTTCTGTACCTACGTACCACCAATGTGCAGTTGTAAAATCAGAACCACGTAGTTCTTCTAAAAAAGAATAAAACTTGATATGTTGATTGATTTTAAATGCAAAGACAAGTTGTCATTTTTAAGAGAAAACTCGTCTAATCGCCCATAAAGTATGAGAAAGAGGGACAATACGTCAACGTGAGGGATGCCTTAAGATCAACAAGTGCCTCTAGTACTCAAGTGAAAAAAGTTGACATCTTTTCAACCCTGACTTACAGAGATAGGAGAATGACATTTTGACTATGTAAATGACTCATGTCTAAACTTTGAGAAAAAAGTTTTAAAGGGAAAAGTGCACAAAGGCACAAAAATGTTTGAATAAAGTCTGTTTTTTTTAGTCTTTTGAGATAGAGCTTTTATATGCTTAGGTTGCTTAGCATTTATTAAGAAAAAGAAGTGTGAAAATTTATTTGACAAAGTCAAGGTTTATTATGAAAGTGGTTCAAGTTTGAAAACAAGAAAGTTTAGAAAAAGGGAGAAGATTTTATAAATTGAAGAAGGGGAAAGAGGCTATCCTAATTGCATAAAGTAAATAACAAGCAATAAAGGGGTCTCATTGTAAAGTAGTCCAAGAGAAATCCATGTGTGTGCAAAGTGAAGTCAAATAATGGAATAAGCAATTTAAATAATTAAATGATTAACACACAAAATTTATTAAGATAATTAAAAATATTTAATAAAACTAATTGATCAATATTATTTAAATTAAATATAATTGTTCTGGACTAGGCCAGCACTTGCCCCACCGTTAGGGAGGCCCAATCCAACGTCTTTGCCCAAGGCCCAAAGGAATGCAGCCCAAGCTGGAGACCGTTGGATATTTCCCCACGTGTCCGCTAGGAAGACGTTGCCCACGTGTCCATATCGTCATCATAATTATCCTCCGGGAATCACGGGTCTAACACCTGTTCTCTCTGAGCAGTTGACCAGGGAGGAGGCCACGTGCTGGACTCCATATGCATGTAAGCCCTGGTAGTATTTGTTGTTGGGCCTCATCGTGGTCCAACATTGAAGACCTTGACCCAATGTTAGAGGCTATAAATACCCTCTCACTCGAGAGGGTCAGGTATTGATTCATTCACACTCTCATACTCACTTACTTGCATTAAGCTCTGAACCTCACTTTGACATCTGAGTGTCTTGCAAGTACCCCCTCCCCCCACTTCACCTTCAATTGTTGCTCGACTCGAAGCTTGTGGGCTTTGACAATCAATTATGGTCAGGTACGATCAGTGGCGCCGTTGTGGGAAACCAACTTCCTCATCTCCATCTCAGGACTAAAGCAACTCTATCAAACTCTGTGATTGTCATGTCCGACCAAGCTGCCCACAACAACCAAAATGCCTATCTCGCTGACCTCAACAACAACGTCAACGATAACATTGGTAACAACAACGCCAGGATCAACGTCGATATGGCCGATCTCGAGTAAAAATATAGAGATGGGTTGACCGCCTCTTTGTCATCCCACTCTCAGTCACACGAGGATGTCCATCCCCTCCAGAACTATGAACCAAATGCTTTCCAGGAGGCCCCCCGTCCCCGCGGACGCTGATGCCACGACCAAGGTTCTGTTCGCGGCCATCAACCAAACAAACTACTTGATTTTCTCGCAGGGTGAGCGACTAAGGGTGCTCAAACAGACTCGTCGGGATCCTAGAAGACACATGAGACCTGAAACTATTCCTCCCCGTCAATATGAAGACTGTCCCCAGTCTCCCCCGCAGAGACACATACGGGACAGATCGTGAAGCCTCTCTCCTCGACTGACTAGGCGACACTCCGCGTTGGAGAGAACACTACCCGAAGCCACCGGAAGACGTTGCCTCACCCCTCCCCCCTCCCCGCGCAGGGAACAGAGATCTCTTGAAAACAGAAATAGGGGAAAAGAAGAAACATAACCTCGGCCAAGGGATCATCCCCGAGGCCAAGGACATAACTACGACCACCATTACAACTAGTGACCCTCCCGCTCCCCATACAGAAGCGACAAAGATGACTCCCGCGGTCCCTTATCCCAGGCTATCATGGAGGCGCCCATTCCTAGAGGAATGGAGAAACCTCCCCAAATGAAGGAATACGATGACATTGCGGATCTTGTCGACCATATCGACGGGTTTGAGGCAATTCTCTATTACCATAACATTAGGGGACCGATCAAATGCCAGTTGTTCTCCACGACCTTGATAAAAATAGCCATGGACTGGTACAAGAGCCTCACCCCAGGATTGATCACCTCCTGGAGAAACCTCAATAACCAGTTTATCAGCTTCTTTACTACGTCTCGTCGACACCCCAAGACTGAGGCCGCCCTTGAGGTTATCATCCAGAGAAGCGACGAGACCCTCAAAGAATACATTAATCGGTTCAACCACGAGGCGATTCAGGTTCCGTGCACTGATCACATGAAAGGTACCAGCTCGAGAGAGGACTCCTCCCAGGAACTGAGTTCAGAAAGGCCGTCGGCATTGAGCCACCCCAGTCTTTCGATGCTCTCCTAGAAAAATCCAGGGCCTACATGGACTGCAAGGAGAAGGAAGCGGCCAATAGAGCCTGCAACTTGAGGAATCACAGATAAGCCAACGCCCCGCGACACCAGGATGTAGGCCCTTCTCGATAGACGGGAGAGAAAAGAAGGGATGATAAACCTCATGATCTCCGCGAGCACAGGGGACCAGCAAGACGCTTCACAGAGTACACTCCGCTGACTGCTTCCCGCGAGCACATCTTGGCGGAATGCTCTAATACCGACTTTAAGAATGGCGGCGTCAGACGTCCCCGACCTTCTCCTGCGAAGCCTGGGCTGACAGGACAAAATACTGTCAGTACCATCGGAGTCACGGGCACTTGACAGAAGACTGCGTCCACCTCAAGGATACCATTGAGACCCTTATCAAGGGTGGCAAATTTGAGGAGTACCGACGCAATGACGCACCTCGCCGTGACACCCGCGAGGTGAAAGAAGTCAAGGAAGAAAGCCGGCCATCGGATGAGTCGGGCCCCATACAGATAGATTTCTCTATGACGAGGCCTGAGGAATTCCATGTCCCCGACAACTACGAGGATGAATCCTTGTCCACGCATAGCAGATGGGAGAAATTCCCCTCTGCCATGGTCATAACTGGCAGGGGATTCAACAACCTCTCCATAAACTCGACAAAGAGGAAGCTCGACGAGCTGGTTGATGCAACCCCAACCCAATAAGTGACACTTGAGAGGTTCAAAGGAAATCTGAACCGACCACTTTCTACCTGGAGGAGTTGTCCGGCGGGGCCGCTAATTCGAACATCCCTCTGCTAATAAGGGCAAGGATGGCTAATTTTGACGTACACCGCATTTTGGTCGACGAGGGGAGTTTCGTCGACATCATGTATAGCTGTTGTACCCAAAAATTTCCCCTCTCATTTTATTCAAGACATTCTCCTAGAGTTCCCAAATGCTCAAGGTTGCTCAAGAATTGATCAGACAAATTCTCCTCCTAAGCAATGGATCCACAACTAGGGTTTCACTTTTCACAAGGAA